TCGTTTGGTTTATTCTTTTTTTTTTTTTTATTGTGTAATTTTGATTTTGGATTTTGATGAAAAAAGTAGAGGGCTACCCCCCATACAAGAAAAGGTAGACAGGTAGAATGCAATGCTGCAACATTTAATGAGAGCGATACTATCGGTGGCTAAACAGTTGTATGCTCCATTAACCAAACAAATTACTAACCAGCTTGTCAGACTCCCTAAATGCTGCAGAACAGCAAAAAGAAATGAAGGAGGTTGTTCACACCGCTGGTCACAATTCTGATCTTTCATGCGCTTCAAATGCAATTATCTGAATGTTTAACATAGAGTAAGCCTCACTGAATTCAGAGATCTTATGCCCAACTACAACCTGGATGTCTAACCTTCTGAGCTGAGATATTATGACTGGATCTGTAGATTATGTGCTTTTTATAAATTTCCAGCCCAAACATGCGCTCAGGACCAAAGGAAATTTTTGAGCTTCCTTTCAAAAAGGAATTTATATGTGGGCTTACTTATGAGTAAGCAATCTCTAGAATAAACAACGCCAAAGTGCATTTAGGATTAGAAGCAAAATGTGAGCATAAATATGCAGTTGCAAACAGGCCAATCACTTTTCTGGAGAGTTAGTTTTCAGCTCTGCAAAACTGGAGTACCTAGAGAATGTTGAAAATGCTGATCCTGCAAAAGTTTGAGGTTATTGTTTTATACTGAAATGTATAGTGCCTATGCAAAAGATTAAAAATAGGGTGATGTGTTAAGGGACAAAAGTAAATTTTGAGGACATTGGTATTTAAATATTTGAGTTTGATTCGGAGGCTGGGTTTTATTTTTAATTGGGGGGAATGGCTTGCACTTTTTTTCTGTCGGTGAATAATAACATCCTTTTCCATTCCTCCTCCGGCCCCATCTGTCCTATATAACAGTTCCAACTCCCACTCTTTTTCACAGCTCTGACGGTGCGTTTCCTTACCAAGCGGTTTATTGGGGAATATGGAGACATGGGTGAGTGTTTGGGTCTTTACACAGTTTGGTACTATTTCATCCTGGGGATGGTGGTAATAGATGGTCCGTCTAATTAGACACCCAGAAGAAACCTACCAGAATATCTTTTGGCTAGGGTGATGGGAAAGAATGAAGTTTGAGATTCATAGGGACATGAGAGGCAAACTGGCACACTAACCCAAGTTTAGTTTACCCATGGTTAGATCATCCATGTCTTTTGATTAGCATCTATGGCTTTCTATACGGCCACTTACGTAAGCTGGCTAACAAACGGAAAAAGAAAAATGGATTCAAGTGCTAAAACACAATTTCAGATCAACCGTTCCACAGGCTTTACAATCATTTAGGAGTTAAAATCCTAGCAAAAGAGATGTTTTTCAAACGTCAAGGGAGGGGAGGCCAAGCAGCACCAAATTAAACAGAATTGATCAAGTTCACACAATACTCTTAAGTAATAAATGATTATTTTAAGATCACAGTGGGTATTTTCAGAACACTTGAGGTGGAATCTAAACAAATCACATAGTTTAGCCAGGCCATTAGCAAGGTTTACACATCTTGTCCAAAAGGAAGATAACTCTCATTTTAAAATGATATCCCCAAAAGAGGAAATTAGACAGAAAAGACCCACAGCTGCTTACTTTACAGTATTTTCAATAAATGTAAGATGACGCTTGCATTTTAAAGGTAAATTATTTATGTAAAAAAAAATTCAGATAAATGCACAATAATAATGGTAAGCTATAAACCATAGCTTATATGCTACAGTGGATGGGCTCACCTGTCATGCTAAACCAAAAGTGATTTGCTTCATTTTGGCGTAGTGGAATGTGTGAATGTAGTCACTTGTGGTTATTTTAGAAACCATTATCAAGCAAATCATGGCTTGACCAGCACCTCATTTGAGGACAAAATGCTCCTTTTTCCCTTTTGCTGTGAAACGAACCAATCTAATAACTCACTTAGATGCTCAAATAAAGAGTCAAAAGGCGACCAATGAAAAATCAGCATAGAGCAGGTGTTAAGGTGTTGGACTGGGACTGGAAAGACCCAGGTTCAAATCTCCTCTTAGCCCTGGAGCTCACTAGTTTCTCTTGAGCCAAATCTTATTTCTTAGCTCAACCTATTTCACAGGGTGGTTGTTGGGGGATATAATGAAAAACTTCCTTGCGCTTCCAGGAGAAACTCCAGATCTATCCCACGGCAGGGGATGGATAGACAGACACATGCAGACAAACCCTTTTCCATCTGAACACTTCAGTTAGGGCAACTCATGCAAGGTTTTAGTGGGGAAAGGACTAGAAAATCAGATTGGTAGCAGGACATTGGAACAGTTGTCTCAGCTTCCTTATTCTGTTGTTCTTACAGTCTTTTCTTTGGCAAGCCCTATTTACTGAGGGGAAAATGAATGTATAGGCTGGTTCATATATGGTATCAACCAAAGGTTTAAATCATGGGTCATTGAATGAGCCATAGTTGCTGGGTTCACACACCCATGGTTTGTCAGTTAAACCACAAATGGCTGGGTTAACACAGCATGCTAAACCATGAACAAGCAAATTTCCTGTGGCTTAGTGCAACCTATGAACCCAGCTAGCCAGGTATCACTATTGGGAGAAGCCGAGGTGTAAGGAGGAAGGCATGGTGCATGTAAAACTCTCAGGTTATGTTTTCTTGCTTTGTGGCACTGCCCTTTCGACACACCCACAGTTGCTGATTTGGAGCCCCTAGAGAAAAACCCCAAAGGGAGTGGCCAAGGAGAAAATACATGAAGGGGAAGGGAAAGGATCGAGCTCTTGGGAGTGGCTTCTGGCAACCTGAACTTTCTGCTTTTCCCCACCCAGAATCTATCTACACTCACACTTTGGCAGTAGAAGGCAAAGAGATTCTTTTCCACATCTGGGACTTTCCTTGCTCGCAGGTGAGGAAGTTCTTCTACCTTCTCACATAAATATATGTGTGTATGTGTGTGTATGTGTAGTCCAATCTAGTTATGATTTATCTTTTAATAGCAAAGTATGTGCCCAATAAACTCGTTATTTCCCTCATCCTGCACTGTTGTTGTTGGGTTAATTAGAACAAACAAATGACCACTCAAACAAGATTAATAAAGTAAATATATCCAGTAGGGTTGTGCCTTGCTTCATTTTAGAAGAGGATTCTTGGAATGTGTGGGAGCACAAATGCAACACTTGCTTGCAACTCATTAAAGCAGCCATGCCTGCATCATCCTGGAAAAAAGACATGGTTTCCTTAATGAGTTGCAGACAAGTAGTGCATTTGCACTCCCAAAGCATTTCTTCTTACATCTAAAGCACTTGGCACAGACTTGACATCCAGTTCTCTCTCAAAGTTTGGAAGAATAAAGAACATTGCAAAAGCTCCGTGCTCGTTTTGTAAAAACTCTTCTTGTGTCCTTTGAAGGATGAATCCATTGTTATCTAAATGCCTTCTGGCTACTTATCTACAGTATATTTTGGTTTAATTCTGAGGTGAGTCATCTTCTCTCTTCAAGGGACCACAAGGTGTGTCAAGGTTTACTTCCACAGAGTTGGGGAAGGGGAAAGGGAAAATAAAAACTGTGTTTGACTTTCGTTTAAATTTAATTAAAATTACATTACATGAATTAAGTACAATTATGTGATTGTTTCCCATGTAATCAAGAATTTTCACCTTCTGTCACATTATGATTTGGCAGATCTTTTTGGAAGGATGCTGGGGGCCATATCCGAGGCTTTGGAGGACCACATCCAGCCTGGGAACACAGGCTGTGCTTCTGAGTTTTAGCTAATGCAGATTTCTCTCACATCAGACATCATTTTAGAAGAGGTTGTGTTTCCACGTTGCACCAAGCCATAATATGATTTGCTTGTTTGTAACTTCACATGTCTTGTGAACATTGTGGTTTATGAACCATGCTGTACCAATTATTGTTATTGTGTTGTTGTTGTTGTCAATATTTACATACAGTCTACCAGATAGTTCTGACTAGATTTGGTTGTTTTGACTATCATATCCTTCCCAAGGATCTAGGACAGCTAAAGGTGTTGTCATAATATGTATGCTGTTCCAAGTGGTGCAACTTTTGTAGTTCATGAGTTGAGATTCTATCCATTCCATTTGGGTCCAAGTGCTTTTCCAGATCTTTTGATATGACACCAAGTGTACCAACCAGTATTGGCACTACTACTTTCATTTTCTACATTCGCTTGAACGATTATTATTTGCAATCCACTGGACTAACAAATCTATTAGCTAAATGTTGCAACCTTACCTGTTTTCTTATTCAGGAGAAGTCAGAGGAGAACTCATCTAAGGACAAGCACATCCAATGGGCTGATGGCTTTGTCTTGGTCTACAGCATCTGTGACCGTGCTAGCTTCAACAGTGTCCAGCCCAAAGTCCAATTCATCAAAGCAACCAAAGAAGGGCCAAGCCAGGAGAAAGTGCCCATTGTTATTGTGGGCAACAAGCGAGATCTGCACCATCACCGAGCGGTTTCCAGTGAAGAGGGCCGTCTCCTGGCCCTCTCCATGGACTGTGAATTCTATGAGGTATCAGCAGCAGAAGCCTATCATGGGGCTCTCATGGTCTTTCATGGTTTAGCGGAACGCATATGTGAGGCCAAGTTGGCCCTGAAGAAAGGCACAGGAATCCGCAATATTGTCAAGAGTGTATCTGCTGTGTTTGCTCGGAAAAGAACAGACTCAATGTGAGAGAACTAACAATCTGGGAATGCTATGGGAAAACATCTATGTTTCTCTTGGTTGGGCAGAGTGGAACATGGATTTTGCTGATATGAAGTGGAGTGGGGCTCCTTGTTCTGCTAATCCTGAAGGAAAAACAATCCAGGAGGTGGTATATATGGCTACCCCAGGTGTTCCAATTCAAGAAGAATGAGGCTATCAAAGGAAGGAAATGGTTATGCCTGTCTCCCCATACTAAAATACCAGGACAAAAAGATTTGCACAAGAGAAAGTGAACAACTTGCCCAAATCCACCTAGTAAGTTGGAATTGGAATTTGGGGATCCCATATTAATGTGGTACCAGTGCAAGAGCCAGTACTGTATTCACTTTGACATTTGCAGAGAGCTGTATGGATGGAACATCATCACTTTGCCCCATATATAGATAAACTGGGCTAAACCAGAGTTCATCTAACCATAGTTTACTAGATAAACAACAGTTGAATATTTAACACTGGTCTGAAGCTATAGGGGGAGATCATATGGTGATACACTATTATAGAGTTCTACCCTGGGCTGTCCAGGAGATGTAGTGGAAGGCCTGTCTGGGTGCCTGGAAGCTATAGGTCTGGATAGGGAGAAACAAAGTGAGACTCAGCCCTAACAAGATGAAGTGGTTGTCCATTCAGAAAGTGACTGACTCTGGGACAACACCACTCTTAGCTCTGGATGAGGGAGATTGCTTCCCCCGAAAAGGCTGGTTCACAGACCAGTCTGCCTGGGTTCATACTACACCATAAGCCAAAGCCAATTATATATGGCTTAATACTGTACAGTGGACGATCCCCACCCATAATAGTTTTGCTAGCTGGGTAGGAATGCAGCTTGAGTCCTTAGAAGCTAATGTGTACTGATTTCCCAAGGGACAGTCATAAGAGTCTCCTGCAAAAAACAAAAACAGACAACCTCAAGACCTAGGCAGAGAAGAGATGTAGCCCAGTAGTAGAACTTCTGCATTGCATTCAGAAGGTCCTTGACTTAGTTTGACCTTTTTTAATTGGCAGCAGTTCTCCAGGTGATGTTCTACTCCCTACCTCTGCCACTGGAGAGCATTTAACTAGAAATGCCAAGGACTGCAAACTGGCACCAGGCTTTAGTGGGCACCTTCTCCATTCCTGGTGTTGGTGAACCTGGAAGGCTGACTGATCCAGTTATTAGTGCTGCTATGCTGCCTAGGAGGTTAGGGGTTAGCTGCCATTTTGATAGCTACCAGGCCCCTTAGCAACAGTCTGCTGGAAACCAATTGGAAAACTAAAATAGCATCTTAGACCCAGCTGCTCTGAGCATAGGAGTCTAGGGTGAATATCAACATAGCTAGAGCTAGGAACTACCTATGGTTTCTTCATGCTAAAATTGCACCTGCAAGGATTTAATCTAAGTATTTGTGCATGAACATAATTGTTCTTCCTTGCTCCATCTCTTAAATCCAGTAGAATTTGAACATGGATAGTTTGTTTGCTGTCTTTGTAGCCTCTCCATCTAGATCAAAGGCAACCTGGCTCTTCCCCAGTAAACGTCTGTGTGAAATGAGTGAAAAGAGCGGAAGGAAGGAAGGAAGGAAGGAAGGAAGGAAGGAAGGAAGGAAGGAAGGAAGGAAGGAAAACCTGGAGGGCCTCAGGATCTCAGAGAGAGAAACTGGGTGGCCTCATCCATCTTTGGGCTTGTCCAGCTCTCCCAACTCCCTTCTCTGCTGTCATCAGCTTGGAAGAGCCATATCAGTTGCATCTCTCTGCTGAGATATGAGGATCTCTGCCAAATTCTCCTTCAACCTCCGGTTCTGTCTTGCTTGCTTTCATTGACTCAGTTATTGCCAACTAGCAGCACTGCAAGTTAGATGCTTGGAACTGGATGTCCTCATGCGTCTTTCTTTTCCTCCCTCCCTCCCTCCTCCTTCCTTCCTTGCTGATGGCACACAGGGCTCCTGCTAAGTGAGACACAGCACACATGCCTGTACAATTAAAGATGTGGCTTCCTTCCAGGTCCTTGTGTGGGTGTGTCAGGCCTTAAATAAGAATAGATAGGATAAGAGCTACAGTTCTTGTCTCCTGTTGGAAAACAACCCTCAGGCCTCCACAACTGATGAAAAGTGGGAGAGAAAAAATCAGAAGAATTGATTTCCCAAGAGAGAGGAAATTGATTGGTGAGTCACTCTCCTGCCCGCTCATCCCAGATGCCTTATTTGGTTTGCCAGTCTCACTGGGGTGATAAAAGCACTCTGCATATGCTTGGAGCACTCCACTTTAGTAGATCAGTGAATACAAAGAACGCAGGTTCCCAGCTAACTAGGGGGAAGGGCTAACTTTTAAAAAGGAATTTTGGAGTCCAGATCAGTAAGGGATAGGTGTGTTCACATATCACCTTAAGCTGTGGTTAATTAAGCAGTGGCTTATTGCCCCAACCACAATTGACTAGGATTGGGGTATATAATGGAAGTCTTGTTCTAGAAACTGCAATGGCTGGTTTGACACAATCTGGTAAGCCAGTAGCAAGCCAACCCCTGATCATAAATTGTGGTGCGTGAATCCAGTCAGTGCTTTGAGATGAAAATACTGCAGCTGGTTCTGTAGCTGCCCTAGCAAAAAGGGTTGCAGTTTTGAATTTTGAAAAATAAAAGCATTGAATGTTGACAAATATTTCAACCAGTCCCTTTTCACAGGGTTATTAGGAGTATAACATGGAAGGTGGGAGACTGATGACAGGTGCATTGAATTTCAAAGAGGAAGTGTAATAAATATAATAAAATAATGATGCGGAGAAATGGATCAATAGACATTTCCACCACTATCATCATTCAGGCCAACTTATTTCCAATATTCAAAGGCAAGCATTATTGCAAAAAAATAAAACAAATAAATCAACACCAGACACAAGATTGACCTTAACATGTTTAGAAGTACCAAACATCTTCATAGAAATATATGCATACATAAACACTGGGGGGTGGGGCAGGGAGGAGAGAGTGAACTTCAAAACAGTCCAATGAGAACCAAATATACTCTCTGGGTAAATGTTATCTGGCTGGATTCATAGTTTCTAGAATCATAGAATTGGAAGCTCCTTAGTGGTCACCTGTTCCAGACCCCTTCCAATCTCCTACAGCATCTCTGATAGATTGCCATCCAGCCTCTGCTTGAAGACCTCTAGTGAAGGAGAATTTATGTAGCAGCCTATAACACTGGCCCACAGCTCATTCGGGCAGGAAGCCCCTCCTGATGTCTATCCTGAACCTCTTTCCTTGTTGTTTTAACCCACTGGTTCTGGTCCTGTTCTCTGGGGCAACAGAGGATAAGCCCACTCCGTGAAGACTGCTGTTATTTCTCCCTTCGGTCATCTCTTCTGTAGCCTAAGCATACTTAGATCTGTTAAGCATTCCTCAGAGGGTTTAGTTTTCAGGCCCTTCAACATCTTTCTTACTTTTGTGATAAGCCATAGTTTGTTGAATAAACCCAAAAGGTGGGGCAAGCTGTATGACCCAGTCAGTATTAGGGTATCTATTAACAGCCCTTAACAAAAAACAATTTTCTGGTGCCCTTTCTTATGTGTAAGTTTTGGAATTAAGTCCTAAAATTTCAAAAGGAGTCCTGGGTATTTTGCTTTACCACAAATGTTCCTCAAAGCAAAGCCACCTTTCTGATTTTTGGATATAGTATACTCAGCTTGAATCTTTGAGACCCAATATTTCTTATTCCATACTTTGTGATGCTTTCACAGCATCTTAATGTAATTAACAAGTGTGTAAATAAATGTGTATGTGGTGGCACTGTATTTTGTAAAAAAAGGAATAAAAACAATATGCACACATCTTTTAGTTTGGTGTTCTTAGCCTCATATTTTATTCTTAGCAGGAAGGGGAGAAAAAAGGAATACTTACAGAATATATGGAGTACATGGTAAGTTAGTTGAGCCTCTAGATTTGACAATGGAGTTAAAAGTTTGTTGCTGAATGTGATAAGAACAATATACGTTTGAATAATGTCAGAGGATAGCTATTTAGTAAATGGTACAACCCTAAACAGGTGTAAAACAAGGGTGCGTGATGTCCCCTTGGTTGGTTAATGTCTTTAGGAATAAATGCATAAAGAATGCTGGTGATGTTACAAGTGTGTTACTTGGGGATATGAATGTATGGATATTGTATGAAGATGATGTCCTGCTGTTAACTGACAATCTGTATGTTTTACAGTCAATGTTAGATTGTGGGATACAATAAGGGGTATGGGTCTGAGAATTACTCCATGAAAGTCCAAGGTATTTGTGTTTTATAGGCAGTAAATGATTGCAAGTTATGCATAAGTGGTGAAGAACTATAGCAAGTAGATGAATGTGTGTATTTGGCTAGAATGTTTTCTACTGTTGAAAAATGGTTGGAGAAATTTTAAGTTGTGCAAATACTGGTAGGACTGGATGGGAGTAGCACATGGTCTGTCACAACCTTTTGTCAAAAGAAGTGAAAGCTGTGTAGATGAGCTTCTTTCTGGCATATAGGAGTTGGTGTGTATGTCAGGAAAAACAGCAGTGGGAATGGGGTGCTTAAGGAAAGTGTGTGAAACATCAAGAAGGGATAGGGAAGAACGAATATGGACTGAAGTGAGCGACCAGCAGTTAGGAAGTATACTGAGGTGATTGAATTGCAAAACCAATATATGAAGAGTGGATGGGTTGAGAGGAAGAAGACTGGATTGGATGGAGTTGATGAGATCCTCAGAAAGAGAACAAGCTAAAGAATAAAAGGCAGTATAAGGATGTGATGGAGGCAAGGTTAGTATGCAAGAAATGAGAAGTTTGGAGAGGGACAGTCAATGGAATGGAAATAACCTGTATTTCTTTTAATCAGTTCATGCCTTTCATTTCCTTGGCTTCACATTTTTTTCCTGCATCTTTCATGAAGTCACCTAACCTGACAGGGAAAAGCATGAGGGATATACATGTAAGAATGAGAAAAAGTTGCTCATCCCTTCCCTGGAGATCGGTAACCAAGTTGGCCCTCTGAGGTAGGAATGTTCCCTGTTTCACACGCTTCTTTTTGTCAGCAGCTGCTAGCGTGGCTGTTTTCCTAACTTTCTCGTTCTCTCTGGATAAACTGTTCTTTCCAGCTATTGACTAGTGGGTCCTGGTTTAAATCAAATGGGGCACGGTGTATACAACAAATGATTTGCTGCATTGCAGCACTGTAAACAGGCCTGAAGAGACCTCTGCCCAGAGATTTTAAATCACTTTAGACACAGCAATGTTGGGAGATAGATTGTGATTCAGGTCCCCCGCGAGGGAGCAGGCAAATTATGTTTTCAGCCAAAAGACAGAGATGATTTCATGCAGTTAACCTTTTGGCCCCAAAGTATAATCTAATGCCCATGGGACAGAAGCCCCAGCCCTCTCCCCTTCAATACTGTTCTAGAAGATCTGGGGCAGGAAGACTGTGTTCCCAGCTTTATTAATCCCCCTTCCCGTGTGCTCTTAGCCATCTCTTTGCCTAGTCAAAAAATACTGTTTTCTACTGTTTCTTATTCCAGTTCTCCAGGGTTTACTCTGATAGTATATACAGTGTTGTTCAGTCCCTGAGAATGATGGGAAACTTTTGTTGTGTTCCCCATGCTGGCTGGGGAATTCTGGGAGCTGAAGTCCACACATCTTAAAGTAGCTGAGATTGAGAAACACTGATTTAAGTACTGATTGGGAAATGCCTATACTAAGATTGAGACAGGGCAAGGATTGCAAAATCCATTTAGCCCTGCTTCCTCTCCTGTCGCCTGACTGCACCACAAAGGCATAAACAAGAATTATTGAAGTCTTTTCTCAAGCTGAAGCATAACCAGTTTGTTCAATCACTCATTGAATTTCTAGTTTCTTGTTCCTCTTCATTGCCTTTCTTTCTACCTATTCCAGTTTGTCTGAACTCTACAGTGGTATTAAAGCACCAAGTACTGGAAGCAAATGACTTAACCATAGATACAGTAGTGGGATGGGAGGGGAAATTTAGCTTGTCTAATTTCTGTTCATCATGCAGCCATGGTGTTACAAATGGATACATCAAAGGCAAATTTGTTCTTTCTTTCATCTCATGGGGTTTGGAAGAAACTAGTAATAAGATTAAGCAGAAACCTGCCATAAAAGTAGACATCAAGAAAAGTAAAATGTTCCTTCTTTACTACTGCTATTAAATGACATATTGGCTCCAAAGGCTTAGATGTTAATTTCTCTGCCAAGGCCATACAAAACAGTCCTATTTATAGACACTAAAGGCAGAAAAACTCAACAAGTCAGGGGTTGGGAAGCTGTACAATATGTAACTGGATGCAGGATGGATAGTATATTGTAATAGCTAAGTGGTTAAAGAGTTGGACTGGAGAGACCGAAGTTCTCACTCAACCATGGACTTCACCTGGTGACTTTCAGCCAATCCATCTTTCCACCCAATCTGCCTCATAGCTTGTTGCTGAGGGCAGAGAATGGAGATTGAGACACCCAAAGGAGAGGCAGCATATAAATACAACCAGTACATGTTCCTTAGGTTGGAGTCTACAGCTGGTGGCACCATCTGACCAACCTTTTCTGGGTTTGGAGGCTAAGCAAGGTCAGGGCCCTTTGGTGGGAGATCACCATGACATCTCAGGCTATTGACTAGATCAGGAAGTTTTAAAAAAATATTCTAGAAGAATAAAATGCCAAATCACTTCCATGTCCATGGAATCACCAATTGCAGAACTTAAAGGAAATGGGGAAAGCAAGACATGTTAAGCCACATGGACAACCTAATGTTCCAGGAGATACTATCTTTAGAGCACTTCAAAAATGGTTACAGAACTGCAGTGTGGAAAAGGTGAAAGAGCATTCATGGGGAACACTATTAAATTAATTTAAATCTGTTAGTTCTTTGTTCCAGTCCTATAATATTCTTTGTCCAGGCCCTGCCCAGAGCAGCTTCCAATATACTGCTCAAAGACCCAAATTTATTCAAACATGATGAATGGGCAACTTTTCAGGGGTCAGGGACCCTGACTCAACCTTCTGACCTTCCAGAGGACCCAGATGATATAGCAACATACCAGAAAGCAACAGTTTTCTGTTTCCTCCCACCCCCATATTTTCAGAGCGGGAATGAGAGTAGGAGCTGAACCACTCCTATTTCCACCTTGAATCCTCCAACTCCTCCTCCCAAAGCTACCTGAAATCACAATCTTTGGGTGTTTTTCTTTCTTTCATTGACTCTTGGTGACTGCCTGGACAAGTCCCTCAATTTTTCTTGGCAAGATTTTCAGAAGTGATTTGTCCTTGCCTTCTTCCTACGGCTAAGGGAGAGTGACTGGCCCAAGGTTTCCCAACTGGCTTTGTGTCTATAAGGCAGGACTAGAAGTCATGGCTTCTAGCCTGGTGCCTTAACCACTACACCAAACTGGCTCTTGTTTGTCAGTCTGGGGGGTTTAAAATGGAGTTGAGAGCAATTGGTCTCTGAGGCCTCTGTTCCCACTCTTGATTTGAGGGCAAAAGGTCCTGCCCCAAGTTTGGCTGTTTTGTCACTGAATTTCAGTAGCACAACAGTATATTGCTTGGGGGTGTGTGTGTGTGTGTCCTAACTCAGAATACAATAACTTCCTTTATTAAACTGGGTGGTCTATAGTTCTGGTTAAGAACTAAGTGATACATTAAATATGTGAATTCTTTTGATACGTCAAGGCAAAAAAGAAGGCGATGATACCTATGGCACAGTGAGGAAGATCAACCCATTGCTACTAAGCCAGTGGCTTATGGACTTTCTCCATATCAGGCTGTGATTCCCCACCTCTTACAGAGGAAAACAGATACTGTGGAGGTTCTTTTGTCATAATAATGGTATAAGGGTGGGGGGGGGAGAGAATTTAACTCCCCCATGCCACAGCTGCAACCCTCATCTCTCTCCATCAAAACCAACAATTCTGAATAAAAAAGAAATCAAGCTATATTAAATATACTTCAGCATAACTGGCTAAGTAGCATGAAATTGCCCTCACAAAACCAGTACAAGTGTGGTTATTTTATTGGAGAATTTTTACATGCTATACCAATAAGCTGGCATTACAACAGCAGATGTAATGGCTGGGGCACAAGGTTCACAGGGAAGATTTGAACTAAGTTAACATAAGCAGTAAATTAAGCAGAAGGTTTCAGTTGTCAGTTGCTTCATTCACACCGCCTAAAGCCAGAATGTGGTTCTGTGAATTGTGTGAATCCAGCCCCAGTAGTTTGTCAAACCATGATTCGTGGCTTTGTGTCAATTGTGATTTTGCAAGCCATAGCTTAGTGTGATATAAGATCTCAACCATTGGACTTGCTGAACAATAGTTCAGCATGTTGTGTGAAGTCATCTAACAGCGGTTTATATAGCAAACCATACTTAACAAATCACAGCCTAGCATAGTGAGCAAACACGCTCACTAGCTTAGTCTTTCTTGACGGCCGTGCTGTAGAGTCCCAAGTAGTGTGCCCTTGCATAGGTGGCTTCCAGGTTGGGACGGAATAGCCCTTCACTCCATCTCCTACTGCTAGACCCTTCCTTGTAAGGGGAGAAAGCAGATTTCCGGGCCGTGGTGTATTCAGCTTCAAGGGCTGGACTTTGATGGGGGGTGAGGGGCTCATCAAGGTTGAGGAAGGGAAGAGGATAGTGACCCCGACTAGACCGCCTCTCTTGCAGCTGCGAGGCCCCGCCATGCTTCCTGCTGTCAGGGGCAACAGACTGGACACCCTCTGGTTCTTGGCAAGGCTCTGGAGGAACCATGACCATAGCTGTTGCTTCTTCTTTCACCACAACCTTTGGGAAAGGGAACTAGTGAGTGGAAGGCGGGAGAAAGAGAGAGAGGGAAGAGGTAAATCTGTAACAGGCTAAACTAGCCCCTAGAATTTTCAACCAACTCCCGGAATTATCTTTTGGCCTCCTCACCTTTACCAAAGAAATAAAACCCAGAAACACAATACATGAATTGGTAAGTATTAGATTAATCTCAAAACATTAGAGCTAGATCTAATCTAAATGTAAATCTAGAAAGAAAACAGCTATGAACCCATCTATGGGAAAATGTCTTTTCTGCAGAAATCCCAGAAGAGTTTAAACCATATTTGTGCAACTTTTTTGGACCCAGGATGCTCTTGGCCTTTACATGCACAATCTCAGGCCCCAGGGCAAGAAACAGCTGGGGGTGAGGGGCGGTAAGAGAAAAAAATAAATTTGCTTTACATCTAAACTTTGATCACAATGTAAATATGCCATTACTCTCCTGACATGTGTTTAACAGTGTCTTCCTTCTACCATATCAATGTTTACAATTTGTTAACAATTTGGAGAACTCTGGGGGTCACACCTAAGATTGTACTCCTGTGTCTTAAAGGATTATGTTATGTTCTTTCCTCAATCTGGCAGTGGAGACATGACGATGACATCATCAGCACAAAGAGGTTTGAGATTTCTCCATAAAAGCCATAAACTGCACATTGTGGCTCACAGATGAACACAAGACTTTTAAAAAGGGTGCATGCATGCATCAGAGAGAGGATGAATGTGGGTGAACCAATCTAGCATTTCCCCCCATCCCATCTGAAGACTATAGAGATGGTGTTCAAATGCCATTTGGTGAGCTCCACCCGTGCATTTGCAATATTTCTATCACTGCAGCTACCTAGATTTCATTTCAGTAACAGGAAAAACTTCCTGAGGATAAGACATATACAGCAATGGAACAGTTTACCTAGGGGTTCTATATCTCCAAGGGGTTTTAAGAAAAAGCTGGACAGCCACCTGTCATGGATGGTTTAACTGATTTTTCTGTGCACTGCAGAGGGTTGGACTGAACAGTCCTTGGGGTCCCTTCCACAGTTATAGGACTCCTCGCCAGTTGTTTCTCAACCTCAGCCACCTGAAGAGAAGTGGACTTCGATTCCCAGAATTCCTCAGCCAGCATGCTGGCTGAGGAATTCTGGGAGTTGTAGTCCACACATCTTCAAGTCGCTGAGGTTGAGAAACACTGCTCTATGCTGTGCAGATAAATTATCCTGCCTGTTTTCTATTAATTATCACTCCATTTGGTGAAAGGAATTTGCTTTAGAATTTTAGTTCAAAAGGGAAGAGCATTTCAGATGGAGTTTGAAGTTCTTACACTAATTTATCAACAAGGTGTCCAATGAGTGTTGTGTGAATGTCCCGTCCAGTCTGCAGGACACCTGGTTTCCTACTCTTCCATACAATCCCAAGCAAAGACCTTAGGAGGGAATTCTTCCCATGGATTTCTTTTCTGAATGGGAACTGCAGAGTGGTTTTCATAGACACAACCACAGCAGCAAAGGGTTGCATCCTCTGTCACCTCCAACAAGAAAATCAGCTCAAAAACACAACCAAGATAAATTTGAAATATTTTCTCAGACACCCTGAGAATCAGGCAGAAAAACAGAAGCTTCTTTTGCAGGGAAGGATAGCTTCTGAAAACATACAAAACAGATTGTCAATTCATCAAAAAGCAGAACCTAAGCTTATGTGGCCCTATTTGCATATGAAGGGACTTCTGGTTATCAACAGTGGTGTATGCATATATATAACCAGGCTAGTTAGGGCAGAAGGGAAAAAAGCATGGAGATCTAAACTGCTATTCCATGCACTCTGGTTATGCTGCTTGTACATCTTCCCTACTGTGGGAAGATCCAACTTACAGGTACATAAAGGAAGACTGTTCTTAGCAGGCGGCTTGTGATGCTTGCCAAAGGCACAAGATGCCCACTTTTGCACCAGCCTCAGGACTACTTGCATTATTTTTTATTATGACATTTACATGATCACATTTAAGGGACACTAAGTGTACTGTTCAGCTTCTGTTCTCTTTCTACCTGCCAATTATCCAATCTTGTACAATGCATACATTGTGTATTGCTGACTTAATGATGTTACTCTGTTTACTAAACTTGTACAATCAGATCCCTGGTGATTTAGAGACTTTTTTCTTCTTCCTGAAATCTATGTTTTCCACCAAACCTGAGGTCACACTATCAATAACAAAGGCATTTCCGGGCCTTTGATTCAATTCAAGGTCCCTTGCTTTTTGAGCTCATAGTCCTTTGGGACACTGTTTTCTATTCTTAGTTGTTAGGGAGTTCAAAGAATGAATGGCCTGTCTGCATTTGATCATCTTGACTTCCCCTGAGTGCTTCCTTTGGGAAAAGAAAGAAAAATAATGGCTGGCTTTGCTCAACATACTAGACTAGACAAAAATGGTGTATGTTATGGGAACCTAACTCATATGGTATATTACAGTGAACCAGATCATCGTGCTGAGCCATCATAAGGTTTTTCTGTTTAAGCCTCTCAAACATAACACAGAAATTGTGCTTTGTTCATCCTCAATGACAATTTAGCATGTGGTGTGAACTCAGCCACTGAATGCCAGCCTTGGTCAAAAATAGCTGCTTTTAAACTATCTGCTTAAGCTGATACCCTCAACAACTAAACTTGCTTTTCTGCTATAGTCTAAGATCCTGATGGGCAATGGGTAACAATTAATTGCATGTATTTTTCATCAGGTGGGACACTAAAGAGCTACTGTTACTTCTCCAGGATGACAGTTGCTTTGGACTAGAACATTAGAGATTAGAAACAGCTCAGAGCTGACATGCAGGTATAAGTTGCTAGATTTAGTTTTCAATAGCCCAAGATAGGATTGGAAAGGCTCCTGCCTGAAACTTCGAAATTTATAACTTAAACTTCAGGTAAGAGTAATGTATTCCTCCTCTAGCAGCCAATTAGGTGGAGATGATGTGGGGAAAAAGAGAAGAAATTGTCAGAACAAGACAGAAAGAAAGAAGTGGCAGAATGCAAAAAGCAAGAAGAAAGGATATCAGAATAAGAAGGGAAAACTACAGGAGTGAAAGAATGTTAGAACAAGGGGAAAAGAAAAAGAATGTTGCAAGAATAAGAGGAAGAGAAAAAAAATAGGAAAAGGATGTCAGGAGATCTGTCTATCTCCAACTCACCTTGAATACTGTCCAACAAGATTTAGAATGGAGCACATTGTTCACCAGCTTTTTTTTTTTCTTCATCAAAAGATAAAGATGCTGCTAAGCAGGGCCTCCATTTCCACCAATTGGTATTCTAGGATGTGCTGGCTCTGAATATGAGCTCTTACACTTAGCCTCTGTGAATTGCAACTGCCTGTCATACTTTGGGAAAGCTCAAGAACTGAGCTTCAGATGTCTCCATATGCTAAGTCAAATCCCTAGTTCATATGTCTACTCTGACTGCTGGAGATGATCCATCATAGAATCATAGAATTGGAAGGAATCACACGGATCTAGTCCAACCCTCTGCCAAATGCAAGAAAGCCAATTAAACCAGCTCAGAGAGGTGGCTATCCAGCCTCTTCTTAAAAGCCTCCAGAGGTGAAGAACCTACAGTCTCCATAGGTAGCCTGTTCCACTCTTGTACAGCTCTTACTATCAGAAAGTTCTTCCTTACCTCCAAGGTTTCACAGAGAAGATGCTGGGGACCAAAATCAAACATGTGCTTCCCACTGAATAAAATAGCCCCCCCCCCCACTTCAGAATATAGGAAAATTCTTCTCAGCATGCTGGATAAGAATAAGGGCCCATCTTGTTCTACATTCCATGCCAGATATGACTGAGCAGATGCATCCAGGAAGTTCCCAAGCTAGAACTGGAACAGCACTTCTCTTCCACTATTGTCTTTTAGGCAGTGACACTGAGGACACAATGCCTATGATTCAGGAGGTGGCATTCAGCCATGCAAGCTGTTCTTGAATATGTTGAATCCCTTTTTCAAGTCAATTCAATTGGTGGCCACATCCTACAATTAATTATGATTTGATTAAAGACATCCTTTTTAATTAATCTCAAAATCTCTCTGTTTTTGGCTTCCATGGATCAAATTCAAGAAACATACAAAATTCAGTCTTTTGTTGTTTGGCTGTTCTCTTTCTTTGCCACCTTCAGCTAGGTAGCAGCACCAAGCTGGAACCTGAGTCCAAATGGTTGATCAAGGATGGACCTCATCCAGGTACTAATTGAGAGATCACATAGAAATCTCAGGGCTAAAATGAGGAATTGAAAAAACATCCCAGAAGGCAATGGCAAACCACTTCTGTATCATACCAGGAAAACCGAGTGGAACCTAGGAGTCAAATTTGACTTGAAGAAGACTTTTTTCTCTCTGACCTCTTCTTTCCTTTTGATAAACCAACTGCTTACTGAGCCTAGAAGATCAGAGATGACATGTAAAGTCTTTGTTGCAGTCTGCCTAGGTAACCCTC